AAAGCCTGGGGCGCCCTCACAAAACCCCCCCCCCCCCCGCCCCCCATATACGCCACAGCAAGGAGCGACACATTGCATGCAAGGACCAGATGAGTGTGGTGGCCTGAATCAAAGACACAATTTCCTGTCAGAGGAAACGGTGCGGAAGATTTTTTTTTTCTCCCTCTCTTTTTCCCTCCTTACTGAATTCCTTCCATTACACTGATCAACATTAATATGAACAAGCAAGTGAGGAATATTCTGACAGGGATGACAGAGCTGAGGCCCCCTTTTTTCTTTTTTTTTTTTTTTTGAGGGGTGGGGAGGAGATAAAATAAATATTACTGAAGCTTTACTTAGCGTTAGAAATTCGAATAAAATGTGGCTAAATTTGGAAGGCTAATATTTGGGCGCTAACTTCACATCCCAGCTCATCATCTTTTCTTTGCTCAATAAAGAAGCACGTCCTAAACCTCCATGACCGTTATCCATCTCTCCAAAGTCCCCAGCACGGCAGGATGATGTAAGAGCGGAGACAGACAGTTAGCAGATGGAGTCTTCTCTCCGGAAGACCCTTTGGCCTTGGAGCTGTTCTCCTCCTCCTGACCAATGAAGACGCTCAGATCTCTGCTGGGTGACTCTGGCCCCCTCCTGCTCCAGCATCTGTTGCTGTATTTTAAATAATGGCTGTGATAATAACGAGCTCACGTCTCCTCCCGTCGAGAAGGCAAGGGGTCACTCTACCTTGGGAGAGTTCACCGCCGACGCGTTCTCTAAGCAGCTCAGGAATTTGTCTGCATCAGTGGCTTTTTTAATGTCATCTGCACGCGTTCTGGAGGTGAAGATGAAGACGCCGTTTAAATAATATCACAATCCAAATCGACTCAAATCGGAGTAACTGCGCTGTTGCTTTAAAACATTACCGCCGCCATCTTTCAGAAACATTCGACTATACCCTGGTGTATTATGTAAAAAAAATCCGATATTTGTTTCCTTGAAGTGGGCTGGCATTTCTAGGGAAAAAGCATTAAAACACGAATCAGAGTATAAATCACGGGCCGTGTCTTTAAATGAGATCAATTAACGCACTCACTGGTGTCGCCGTGCAGCGTGAAGCCACATTAAACCACGTCATATATTAAATCACTGCGGCTCAGCTGAAGGGACCGTCTCCATGTGACTCCATGTTGCAGCTGCGGCCCACTGACGCAGATGATGGAGTATTGCTCAAGGTGTGGGTATCTTCTCCTTTCGTCATATCAGGTCAGGACCATAAATTACCAGGTGACAGAACAAGACTTTGAGAGGACCAGCGGAGAAAATTGATAATGAATCATAGGGGGCGGGGGTTTATTCCTGCACCATGATCAATCAATTCAAGGCCTTGATTACATTTGTTCAACACTGGAACAATTCATCTTCACACTGCGTTTCCATGTCTCTCCCTGGAGGATCTTTTGCGAGAATACGACGCAGAGATGACATGTGTGGACTTTTTTTTAAACTTTTTTTTTTAAATGAGCTTCAGCTTTAGGGGCTTTCAAAGAGTTTTGGAGAAAGAGGCAAGATGGGACACAGAGGGAAATATGTCTGCTTAATTGAAAACTCCCTAACCTCATCCTCCCATAAACAACTGCTGCAACAACAAAACAAAACTTCTGACAGGCCACATGGATTGAGGACTTGATTCATGGCAGACTGGGGGAGGACATAGAGGCCCATATGAGGGGAGGATTGTTGGGGTGAGGGTGGGACGGGGGCGGTTATGAGGACCTGGCACTCTCTCTCTCTCTCTCTTTCTCTCGCTGGGCTCTTGCTGCACTTACAGTTGTTGTCAATTTTCGAGATCAATGGAGACACAGTCATGAGAACTTCAGAGGAGAGCTGCATTGTTGCGGTGGGGAGTTTCAAATGAGTCTGCCTTTCACAGGACACAGGACTTTGTTCGGAGCATTTGTTTCTAATTTTCTCCGTGTCCTGGGGATCCGTTGCGGTTACACCCTGAGAGGGTTTTGTTTAAATTTCAAGAGCACAAACTGCTTCATCCTGACATGCAGACACATCCATGTTGTACAAACCCCGCGGTTAACATAGCCAAGTGGGAAGGACAGATTTAACAAATAAACACAAATCCAATGCATTTGGAAAGTGGGGTTTGGTGGAGATGAACTGGTATTTCATTTTTTTCCCTCTCACATCTCCAGTAAAGACATGTGAGCTGTAGCCATGGTTATACTTTTGGTTGCAAGAAATCTGATTGTGGAAACGACTACAGTTGTTGTTGTTTTTTTGTTTGTTTTTTGTTTTTTTGTTGCAACCAATATTACAGGCTGCTAATGATAGGATGCCTTTAATGTCTGTGATGCACTTAGGTGAATCAAGTGGTTCCTGCCCAGGTCAGATTACCATGCGTGGCCACTCTTATGATTTATACTGAAACTGCAGGTTGCGTCCATCCTCCTGTATGTCTGGCACAGAACTGTTATTGTTGGTTGCAGTTGGAAGTTAAATTACTAAATAATACTGTAACAATTCTCTGGCTCTGCTTACAGTCGTCAGCAATGTGGGCTTCTTAAAAGTAAAAGCTGTTTTTTTTAAGTAAGATAAATAATGATTGTGGATATTATACAAATGAATGCATATTTTGTGACGATTTGTGTTGTTTCTGAGGAAAAAATGTGTGAAAAACGGACGTGAAAGTATCAAGAAATCTTTTAAATGTTGACCAAATAAGCTGCTCTTATTTATTAATTTTATTTTCTGTAGAATTTCGACGTCTTCTGTTCAAAAATAGCACAACCGACCGTACTCTACAAGGCAATCGTTATGACAGATAAACGTAGCATTCACGCTGTGCGGTAGCGAGCTTAGCTTTGGTTACACGGATATTAAACATTAGCGAAATGTACAATAGCGAAATATAAGTATTTTGTTCATGTTCAACAAGAGTAGAGTAGCGGAGTGACACATTTTATGATAGTATTTTACAAAGAAATGCGGTCGGTTGTTTGGTTTTAGCTCCGCCAACAACAACTTCCGGCCGTAAGCTTGTTTCCGCGTCAGGCCCTCTGCTAACAAAAGACAGTAAATGCAAATGATGTGCCATTGCACTTCCCTGATTGGTTGTTGAGTGCAATTATGTTGAATTGCACCTCAACGATTGGTTGTTGATGAGTGCAATTACACTTTTCAGACAGCAAAGTGCGAGACGTCTAGTCAAATGTAAAACATAAGCGGACGTGAGAGAAAGCACACCGTTGGGTTTTCAATGACGTCCGTTACTTTCATATTGTCAGCATGTCCCGCCCTCTGCTGATTGAAAACACTTGAATTTATCAACAACCAATCATCAAGGTGCAATTGCGCCTATGCGCATCAACAACCAATCAGGAAAGTACAATGGCACATCAAATGCAAATGCACTTTCTCGTATACTGTCATATTTGTAAGCATGTTACGCCCTCTGCTGGTTGAAAACGTTTGAATTTATCAACAACCAATCAGGGAAGTGCAATGGCACATCAAATGCAAATGCGCTTTCTCGTATACTGTCATATTTGTAAGCATGTTACGCCCTCTGCTGGTTGAAAACGTTTGAATTCATCAACAACCAATCAGGGAAGTGCAATGGCACATCAAATGCAAATGCCCTTTCTCGTATACTGTCATATTTGTAAGCATGTTACGCCCTCTGCTGGTTGAAAACGTTTGAATTTATCAACAACCAATCAGGGAAGTGCAATGGCACATCAAATGCAAATGCCCTTTCTCGTATACTGTCATATTTGTAAGCACGTTACGCCCTCTGCTGATTGAAAACAGCAATTGCACTCACCGACAACCAATCGTTGCAATTGCAATTGCTCCGTTTCGTCAGTACAGGGCCTGACTTGGCCGGATCTTGTTGTTGGCGAAGCTAAACAGAACAACCGACCGCATTACAAGACAAGAATTCATCATAAAAAGTATCACCCCGTAACCTACCCTTGTGAAAAATGAATAAAATAGATATCTTTCGATAGAAGAAAATCGGATTAAAAGAATTAAAATAATGATGGATAATGAAAACACCGATTCAAAAGTTTATATCTCAACCTTTAATCGTTTCGTTGCTGTTTAATATCCGTGCAAATAAAGCTAAAGCTAAGTTCGCTACCACACAGCGTCATTGCTGCATTTATATCAGTCGTGAGGATTACCAAACACTTGTAGAGTGCAGTCGGTTGTTATTTTATGCAGTAAAAGGACAAATAATATTAATAATACTTATACTACTACTAATACAACAACAACAACAGCAGCAACTACTACTACTACGTATAATAATAATAATAATAATAATAATAATAAGAATAATAATAATAATAATAATAATAATAATAATAATAATAATAATAATAATGGATGCAACATTTCCAGGCTGAATTTTTTTAAATAATAATTTAGAATATTATTAAAATATTCTAAATTATTCTATAAGGAATAATTTAGAGAATAATATTAATACTTTGGTGATGTTTTAATGCATCTACTCATACATCAACTGTAATATAATTCTAATATAATTCCCGTTGCCCAGCAAGATGCAGTGAATTCAAAGGTGGACACAACGTAAAATTTCACCATAATTGGACTTATATTAAACGCTGAATGCATAATTTTCTCCTTTATTATGAAAGAGATAAATGAGGACAACTTGCATCAGCTGCTAATTAATTGGCAAACAGTTGGTCCTATTGACTAACAGCAGAACAATGGGTGAGACCCCACAGGACCCACCTCCGCTGACCAACTAGCTGGACATGATGTATAGGTATGAGCGTAGCCTATAGGAGACGTTATATAAGGAAGCTGCATGAACATATTGATTGAGCTTTAATAACAAGTTCATTGTGTGGAGAGTGGAGAGAGAGAGAGAGACGTTAGCTCTACTTTTACAAAGTGATGTGAAACTTTTTGCTCTTCAATAGAAAATAAATGACAATTTCTCTTATTTATTTTTCAAAACACACATTTTCTAACATTGGAGGTTTGCTTGGAAAAGTTGTGGTCATTTAACATAAAAATCCAAGATCAAAATGATTGACCTTTATAAAGTTTGACCTCTTGAGCTACGGTGTTGCGCACGCTAATGATCTGCTCTAACACGGTTATAGGTTCTCGACCTATAACCTAGATTTTAGTTGAATCAAAGGTTTGTTTCAAAAAGGTGCTGACGTTGTCTTATAACCAGAAGTGGTGGCTTGATTCCACGCTTCGTGTGTCAGTGGGTTGATGAAACCCTGTAGTATCACGTGTGTTTAGTCGGTACCAGGACTAGAAAACTAGTACAGATCATTTATGGTAAAGCCTTCTAAAAGAAATTACTGGGATACTTTTGGAGATTTTCTCAAACCAAATGTGATCAATCATAAATCCCTTGCTTAATAAAACACTTATCCTCTCTAACCAGAATCTAATTTTCATATGTAAAATGCTCATTAAGCTAAGCCTTGTTGGTAATAATTTCTGATGGTTACTATAAAATTACAACAACTGTCAAACGATGCCGGGTGAGGGGCGGGGGAGAAGGGGAGAGGGGGAGAGGGGTGATGCCACATTGTTTCTGTTGCCATGCTGCTGACTGTTGTGGTCTCTTTTCTAACATGTTCAATTCCTCACAGATGTGGTATTCACTTTTAAGACATATTCCCTGTCATGGCCATTAAATCCACGCAGCGGTGCCAAGATGTTCCCAGAGACAGGAGGCACATAAAACAAACAGAGGAACATACTAAGGCTGAAGAGAAATGTTTTTTTTTTGCATGTTTGTCATAAACCACACGTTGCATGGAATCACAGCAACAGTTAAAATTGCCTTCGAAAGAAGAGAAGAAAATGAGAGAAAAAGACACGATCTTTTAATTAGATATATGCGCAACATACAGTTTAAAAAAACAAACAAACAACAAAAACATAAAAACTGCATATTTTCAGTTTTTAACAAGGCTCTCTTTCGCAGATTTTGCTAATGGAGGACGTCTGGGTATGCTAGTTGGGTTCCTCTCCTTTCATTGCTTTCCTGCTGGGACTGCCTCGCACCGACGTTAGCGAGCCGACCATATATTTTTTCAAACAGACGCGCTCATAAAAACACAAAGAGAGGGCACAGCTCATAATCCACACTCTAATGAGAGAAAAGGGAAGTAATGACACGCAGGAAGTAATCATTCTTCTGTCTGCTCCACCGGGTGACACCAATAACCCGTGGCCGACTTAACGCCGACGGTTGTGGCACGTTGTGTAACAGCGAGTGAAAACATCTCAGAGAATCTCTCTCTATCTTTTTTTCTGCCACAGGCAAATATTAAGATTGATGATACTTTGACAGTAGCCGGATCAAAGCGCTCGGCTTTGTCATCGTGAGTGAATCCCATTATGTGGCGGCATAATGGCCCTCTGTGAAAACAGCCAGAGTGTGAGTATCACAATGCGACTGGGAAACAAAGCTTATCTGAGGCGTTTCGCCATCCATGCGGTCCTTTGTGTCTGCGTACGAGCCTCAATTGTTTTCTCCTAAGTGAGTAAATGTCATGTTTAATGTGGTTCTGCAGAACGGAGGAGCCGCAGTTTCTATCCTACGTTTCTATTTTTCCACGACACACAAGAACACGGCAACGGGTTCTAAAGGCTTTATAATGCATGACAACTGTTTAATATTTATATATATATATAAAACAAATCCCAGTTCTGTGTTGCAAGAAGTTGCAGAACATCTTGGTGTCGGATCACGTGACGCTGCTTCAGTCGTCCCCTGTAAGTTCTTTAAATACTTACAGGGCTGTAGCTAGAAATTGGCCAATAAACACTCTGAAAAATGGCAGCCTGCCACCCCGTCTGTGAGCCTGCGCTCCACTCACTCTGTAGCATCAAAAGGCCGCAGAGAGTTGCTGTTGTCACAGTGACATCCGGGCGAGACGGGTGACACATATGTCGTTTCAGAACAGAGACCCGAATGTAGGATTAGTTAGTAAAAGACTTTGAAATGTTTGATTTTTTTTTTCCCATGCACATAGGAAAAGACGGTTCAAGTGGGCGGAGCAAACGTCTGAATGATACTATGTCACTGGCGTTTCGGAATCATCTGTATCTTATCATTGGAAAAAGGTGGAGAGCCAGACTTTTCCTTCAAAGCGCCTCCAGAGCGGCTGTTGTCTTGCAGGATGGAGGGAGGAAGGGAGGGGGAGAGAGAGAGAGAGAGGGAGAGGGAGGGAGGGGGGGCAGATTACTCTCAGCAGCCTCAGCCCTAGACTGGTTCTCATCATTCTGACAATAAAACTCACAGAGTTGAAACAAAGCAATGTTTCATGACGAAAAAAAAAAAAAATCAAGAGGGGAGCCAATGGGAGATTTCCGCTACGGTCTGTGCTGAATTTACCCCCTTCTCAACGCAAGAGCCAAAGAAAAACAGAGCGGTGATTTCAGCCCAGAGCTTTGGTCTGGCCTTTGGAGGCCTAATTCCTCTCGGGCACCCTGGGGCTGAAGGACCAGAAGGCCAAAGGGGCTGAAACTGTTCAAAGACGTATGAATGGTCGAGTGAGAAACTCACAAAGGTTTGTTTTCCAAGTGTTGGGTTTGGATTGTGGCCTTTTTTTGTGGTTCTGGAGATCTGACGCTGACGGCTAAAGGGACGTGCATTGATCGGTAAACAGAACTCTTCTGGATGGTAGGCACTTGCTGTTTTAAGTGAATGTGAAAGCAGGAAAACAAACACCCAACAACTGTATCGGAAACGCGTTTGTCGGTAAAAAGATTGTTTTCCGTGAAGACCGATGGACAGTACATGCTCCAATCCAGGCTCAGTTAACACGTTGGATTTAATGTATTTACAATATGTTTTGTTTTTTTTTATACAATATTTTACATCTTTGTTCGATAAATGCATTGGAAAAAAGAGTCATAAGAAAATCAGCGCGGGCGATCGTCTTCTCCGTCTCATGCGTCGGCTCCTGTGGAGATCTGTGAGACCCTGGGGTCGGAGTCGATCTCGAAGCGGTAGTGGTAGCCCTCCCACACCTCCCTGCAGGCGTCCCGCATGTCGTAGATCCGCTTCTTGATGCCCTTTCGGTTTAAATAGAGTACGAACAGGAAGATGAGGCCGATGAAACCCAGGACTATCCCTAGGAAGACGTACGAGGTCTGCAGGGCCAGGTCTGCCCCCGCGCTCCTCTGGTGGCACCCCAGAGTCAGTGTGCCCGCCGCAAGTAAAGATGTGTTTCTCATGTTTGGCGGGAAGGAGCACACGAGACTCTCGGCGTTTCTAATGCGTCCCTGTGATCTGTTGAGCCACATGGCGAACGGTTCAATTCCGCACGTGCACGTGAAGGGGTTTTCGCCCAGCAGCAGCGTGGCATCGGGCAGGGAGTCCAGCTCTCGCAGGCCTTCCTCCGGCACCGTCTTCAGTGAATTGAGCGTCAGGTCCAGCTCCTCCAGGCCTTCCAGGCCTGAGAAGGTGGAGTTGTGGAGGGCCACCAAGGAGTTGTTGGAGAGCTGCAGCCTCCGCAGGCTGGTCAGGTGGGAGAAGATGCGCGAGGGTAAGAAGATGAGGTTGTTGTCAGACAGGTCCAGGCCCTGCAACGACGCCAGGGAGCTCCAGCGGAAAGACGTGGCCAGGTCCGTCACCGACGAGTGGTTGTACAGGGCTCTGCTCAGGTTGAGTTCCCGCAGCGACTGGTTCGACACGGTGAAGGCCTCGGGGTGGATGACCGCCAGCTGGTTGTTACTTAAATCCAGAGAGCGAAGGCTGCGGAGCTCGGTGAACGTGTGGGACTCGACTTCAGAAATTCTGGAAAGTGAGGACATTTAGGGAAATATTACAGATTCGGAAGAAAAACAAGACAACCGAAAAGAGCAGATAACTGACGTTAAATCATCCTTTAACTTGTCAGAGGTCATAGGAAATACAACGAGAGGTCAAAAAGTAAGAGAGATTTTCTGATTTCATAAGTTGTCCTATTTAAATAAAACATGTCAGGACACGTCTCCTGCATCGCCAACAGCTATGACAACAGCTGTTTTATCATTAAATGTCAGTGTCAGTGTCAACCACTGAGCTGTGTTACATTATATTCAATCAGGGTTTTTTTAAAATTCCAATAATGAATCAATAGTATGAATTAGATCTTTAATAAAAAGATCTGATAATTCTCTCATTCAAGTTCTGTAATAAATTATTATTATTTTCTTTTACATTCAAAAGGAAATGAACTTCATTTCATCACACATAAATATATACATATATATAATTTGAAAAAATATATTTTTGGCTACTCGTAATATTTGTACTTAATTGGATGCCATAAGTTACAATTGTAAACGTAAAGTACTTAAATACTTTTCATATTCAGTACTTCGAGACCAAAGACAGGTTTAAGGATTTAAAATGACGAAAATGATTTTTTTTTTTTTTTTATTAACCTGGAGTAATTGTCATAACACAGTTGTCACCGTCCAGCGGTGTCTTACCTGTTATTGCTCAGAGACAAGTTGGTCACATTCTCCAGTCCTCTGAAGGACGACGGTCCAATCCGGCTGATCTGATTCCCGGTGATGAAGAGATTCCTGGTGTACCCGGGGATCCCGATCGGAATAGTTCGCAGGTCTTTGGAGACGCACTTCACGGTGTGGGCCGCCTCCGAACACTCGCATCGCGCAGGGCATGACGCACGGACGGAGCAGCAGAGGAGCGAAAGAAGAAGAAGAGAAAGAAGAAGAAGAGCGCGCCGCAGATCCAGCATGTTGGAGGAGAAGAGTGATGTCTTTACTCCAAGATGAGCTTGCAGCAGCGGGCAATACGAACCAAGACGAAGCACGCAGGGGCGGGGATAAAGTTAGGACAACCTCAACGAGACGATCAGCTCCTCCAGGACACCCGCCGAACCACCGACATCCTCATCCCCAGTGTCTGCTGCCCCGGCTGGGAATGCGCTTCAACTTTTACATGTGTGCAGAGAGAAGCGTCGCCGGGAGGGGGGCTCTGATTTCCATGAGAACAGGACAAGGGAGTCGTGCTGATCAGAGGGGGTCGATGACTGCTTGATCCTTTTTTAAAGCCGTGGCAAAATGGGGCGTCTCTACTTCTCCAACAATGAAGTTAAAAGGGCAAGTGAAGTGATCCTGCGGGGAGGGGCTTCTGTCCTGCTGCCCACGGCCCCGACCCCGTCCTGGTCCACGGCAACTTCCTTCCTTCCAGAGAGTGGAAAAGACACATAGAGAGAGGGAGAGAGAGCATGATAAAACTAGGGATGATAAAAAAAAATTGTATGGATAGGAGGATGCCTTTATCTCATCCAATGAGATTAACAGTGACATCTAATAGGGATCAGGTGATGTGATGTCAGGGATTATTCCCCTTGATCTGAGGAGGCTGGAATTTCTAGGTTTGAAGATGTTTCACCTTCCATCCTGCAGGATTCTTCCACTTGGATGAGAAGAGAAAGAAAGTCACTTGTCTGCATACTATAGCATACATTAAGTGTCCATATTGTCTGCTTTATCTATTATTCTAGTATTTTTTAAGAATATTCAAATGTTTCATTGGTCTAAACCAGGGGTGTCAAACTCATTTCCACCAGGGGGCCACATCAGCAATACAGTTCCCCTTGAAGGGCCGGTTGTCCCCAACCCCTAGTCTGCAGACCAGTACCGTCATTTGGTACCGGGCCACAGTAGGACACAGTGAAAAAATGTACTTAATTTTTACTAATTAATTTCATTCAGACTCTGATACAAACAGAACAGAGTCTAAAAAGGTCAGGGAACGCTGGTATGGATGGAACTACTCCATAACAGACTAATACATGTTTCTGCAATTGATTATTATTTATTCAAGTTACACACATAATTCAGTAATAAAAAAATGTCTTAGGCTAAGAAAGCTGCATGGACTTTGCGGGCCACATACGATGGCTTGGCGGGCTGCATTTGGCCCCCGGGCCTTGAGTTTGACACATATGGTCTAAACAATATTACATTTCATTTCCAAAGACTTAAATAAGCATAATTATTTAATACAAAAAATACTACTTTATTTCAAACTTGACAAACATTCCTGCATCAGAGCTGCTCCGTGGATGTTGTTCCCAGTGACAGCTGGGATTAGTTTCCTCTGTGTATTGTAGCGGTTTCTCCTCAGAGTTTGTTCTTTCTCTCCTCCCTCCTCATTCCTACCTAACTAGGTGGTAGTATATTGGGGGCCATAAAAATGGGGGAGGGCAACTTGAGGGCCAGACTGCAGAAGCTTTGATCCCCCCCTCCCCTCCCCTCCCCTGCCCGTCCCCTCCTCGTGAACAATGGTCACCGTGTGGGACCTTAAGCCCCGGAGTATCAAAGCAGTTCTTTACCTGTCCTAATGTTTATTCTAACAGATTATAGCAATCATTACAGGATTCACTTAGCAGTGTATTTATAGAACCTTCCAGAGCAGGGAGAGGATGAGACTTCGCCTTTCATGGCTCAAGACCTTGAAACTGTAATACCGAGCCTCCTGCTGACAGCCGTGATGAAACCCAGTTGCTAAGAAAGCTCAGTGACAGAAAAACATTTAGGGGAAAAAAACAAAACAAAAAACAACCAAAATACAGAAATGTCTCCAAACGTCTACAATAATAAACATCTTTATTGATATTATATCTGTTAGTCATAAACACAATCACCGTTGACATGTTCACTTAAAGGGACCTTAAAATAGTCCCACTTGGCTTAGTGATATGCATTTTTGATTATACTTTAGATTTAAAAAACAAAAGACGGTTTAGGAGCAGCGGACTGGTGGAAGTACACAGAGGGTCCTCGGTTTCGTTTTTTTTTGCACTTAAATATGGCTCCCAAGTGTAAGTCAGACTCTTCAAATGTTTTTTTTTATTTTTATGATACCACTGTTAGCATAGTTTATAGCAACATGTACAGTATATGTGTTCACCGTAGGAACTAAAACGTCTGACGTAAGTTGAGGACCCGTCTATGGATCGTGGCCTCGACAATAGCATCTCAACTGTCTTTAATCAGCAGTTTTGAGTTGCCGGGACCCCATGTGTTCACATTCCAACATCTGTAACCATTCAAACGGTCGCGGTCCCAAACCGTCGGTGAGCCGAGGGGCTGTTTATCTGCGCAGTTCGGACACAAGGCCATAAAACGACAATGTTGTCAGTGTCATCAGCTGATCTCTACGGCCTGTTCATTCATCACCTTGGTTCGGCAAAGTGATGAATGAGCCGTTTCACACGAGAACAAGTGACGTATTCAACGGAGCGGCTCACCCCCCCCACTCCCCCCTCATGTTCGGACACCAAGCTCAATTACAAAGAATCACAGAGACTTTTTTTTCTTTTTACATTTGTGTTTCTAGGTTGGTTTTTTTTCCCCCCACTGAATGTGGTCATAGATGGGAACGTGTATTTTAAGGGAAAAGTCAACACATTTCTAGATTATTCCGGTCTCTGCTCACACAACCTAACGTGTTCAATTACCGCTGACAAAGAAAAACAAACACCAGGGGGGGGGGGAAAGGTTAGCGACTTTTAACGAAACTCTCGCGTTGTAAATAGAAAACTGTTCAAACTGGAGCCAGATCGTGGGGCTCGTCTCAGTCTCTTAGTTTTAATGCTTGGGAGAAAATTGCACCGCGGCTCTCGTCTATGAAGTCTGAAGCTACACATTGCACAGGATATTGCATCGAATCAGCGTTAAGAACCACAGACCCGTAATGGCCTAATTTATTATTTATCCTTGCAAGGATTTACCAGCTATTGCATTTAGATTTAAAATAGTTGAGAGAACATTATGGAGGGATAAAAATAGAATTCAAAACACAAGGCATTTGGCAGTAATGATCCCACTCTGATTACGAATCAAGAAGCCAAAGCGCGAGACCAACAACTTCCTTCTTCCTTCAACACCTTCAGTTTTACATGAATGTAAAGCACACGCACACACACACACACACACACACACACACACACACACACACACACACGCTGGCATGCAATCACATGCTTCCTCCTTTCCGACGTAAGGCACGCACACTCACGCGCATGAGTCCACGTCAGCAGCGGTGATAGGCAGGAGTAAACAAAATTATGCCGTAAATTATTTAAAGGATAGATCTGTCGAGTGGGTGAAAATCCATCGAGTTCGCAAAGAATAAAGAGCACCTGGTGTGGGCTACAGTACCGTGGGTTTAAATATTTACAGGCAACACAGGTGAAAGAACGCACAAACTCTGTGTTCAGCACAAGCTGAAGTGATTAGAGCTCCCTCTGTGTTAGCCCTTCATACCTTGGACTTTTTTGACAAATAAAAAAACAACAAAAAAACAAAAACAACAACCTGGTTTTAATTTAGTGACCCACACCTTCCAGGTCGGATTATTGCAGGACGTAGCCCAGTGGCGATTTATCAAAGCTCTGTGAAACAGCACTGACATTTCACAGTGACCTTCTAATCTGATCTGCAGAGGTGGAGAACAGCAGGAGCAACACCGCTCAGACACCGGCAGAGAGTGGGGATATTCAGCAGGGGTGGGTGAGCGTGAAAAACCTGAGGATCCCAGCTACCTGCTGCTTCTGGCAGCAGCGCGGACAAAGAAGGGGCTCAACACTTTTTTTGTGTGTTTGATTGCAAACAATGACTGATTTAAATCGACTCAAGGAAAAGCCATGGCAACGGATTTTGTGTTCCAACCATGATGTGGAATTAACATAGTTTTGTCAAAACGTGAAAATTCAAGCAGGGTCCGTGATTTAGGTGACTATTTTTAGGCAGTGCTTCCGTACACACACAGTCAAAGTATGCAATCAGGTCTCAGGTTTTTCGTATTATTGTTGTAATATTGAGTTCAGCAAAGCTGCGTTTTATAAAGATAACAAACTGACAACACAGTTTGACTTGGTCTGGCAACAGTGTAGAAAGCCCGAAAAAGTTGGGATTTTTCCCCCCCCAAAGCCACAGTCACTGTGGTTGCTACAATCAGCATCGCATGACAGTAGGAAGTAAACGGTTTTTTTCAGAGGTACTCCGAGACACGTTAACGCGAGTATTTCATCTCTCTGTGAGAAAATAGTTGTTTTTATATAAAAAAGGAAATTAAGAAAATGCACAAGCAGTCAAACTACTCTGGCACGTTGAGGTCGCAGTACTGTAGAAGAGCTACATTAGGTCAGGCATGAAATGCAATCAATTCCCGTAAAGGTATTTAATAGCTTCGCCGTGTATGTACTCCCTGATATAAATGCACTGGATCGTCCATTACAAAGTCAGAAGGTCAGAATCTAAAAGCGAGGCATGGATGTAGTTCCACCGACGTACCTTCAACTAGACAAGTCTGGTCGACATGTGGCATCGGCCTGGACCTGCTGTGAGGCATCCCATAGTCATAACCCATAATTACGTGTGTTTGTGTGGTCCTGGTTGTTGCGGCGATGTGGGTGGTGTTTTAGTCACTTCTCTCAAAACAATTAAACTCTTACAAAAAAAATAAAAATTTTGAATCCCTGGATTGGTCTAGCTTCACCACTTGAGGTGATGCTGCCTGCGCCCCAGAGGCGGCACGGTTTAGACACTCGTAAAAACAAACAAGACGTGTGTCCTGAAGGCAAGTATTCCTCCTGGATCACTGGCTCCCGAAACCCCCCTCCCCTACCATCCTTGCGTTTCGTACGAAAAAGGTCGATCCCGGTGTTTGACCTGCAGGACTTCCACTGTGTCTCTGACACGTCTCCCAGGTCACCGGAGGTTGAGGGCCAGGGCCACTGTGAGGATGATGCTCACCAGCATCAGGAAAGGCAGCCATGTCTTCAGGAAGCCAGCACAGCTACGCAAGAGGGGGCGAGGGGGGGAATCACACGGAGAAGTCAAGGTGAGGACATGTGAGACTTAATGCAGAAAAAAAGGGGGAGAGGTCAAAGACAAAGGGTTACTGTGATTAATGTGCTCTCCCCCCAGTCTCAATAACAACACCGCAACTACTTTCAGTATGCAGTGGTGTCATATTCTCATATTTATTCGCAAATTATATCAAAAAGTAGAAAAAAAGTAACACAGCCAACGTATTTCTACAAAACCTATAAAAGCCATTCCTTGAAAATCCACATGCTGCTCCTCTTGTCTGGTGACTTTCTAACTGTTCTTTATGGCCTCATTTAAGTGTCTGGATGTTGGTTTGTTTTACTGTAATATTAACGCTTAATGGCCAGCACTGATTGCTGTTCATTATCTTGTACATACAATCCCAGTGAGTGGTATGTAAAAAAAATAATTCCTGTGAACTATAAAAAGCCTTCTGGAGAGACATCCTCTCTCCCTTCTCTCTGCCGTAACCTGATAGCAAACATTCACAGACAAACCAGTGAAAACTTGCCCAAACCCCTGGGATCCCACTGACAAGTCTACTGCACTGAGGGGAGCAGCTGTAGAATACAGGGGCTCTCTGCTCACTTTAGATACACTCACACATGACACTAGTGTCCAAAGAAATCCCAACACTCATTTACGTTGTCTTTCCTTATACCAATATCTGCTTAATTTCATCACAATCAGGAGCCGACCACCTGCAGTCTTATGAAGCACTGATATAAAACGGCAGAATTAAAAGGCAGAAGATGAACTTATTATTGTTGAGTATGAATCATGTATGTATCATGTTTGCTACGCGCACACGGTTCCAAAATCCTCACCTCACGTGCTTTCCGTGGATTAGAACGAGAAGGCAAAGTTTGATCATGTTCCACGTCGTGCTGTTTTCATACCGCATCAGATTCAGCGCCATGGCAACATGGGAGTGACAGTTGTCGCAGCAAAGGTTGTGCTTTTGAGCAAACAAAGTTGATGATATTGGAAAAAATGTGAAAATGTAAATACTAGACATGGCGGTGTGAATCTCCCCCTGTCTTACCATCCTGTGCTTGTACTCTTCTGAGGCATCGTGCACAGCTCTATCCCAGGCATTGGTGCCACTAGTATAGACTTTGCTGACATCGAGCATCCAGTACCTAAAGTCAGAGAGTTCAATAAGCTGCTGTGTTGTGTATGGCAGGGCTGGTGTTCAATATTTATTTCCAGACATATTTATTGACTTACTTTGTCGGCTTTCCGAAAGCCATGTTGTCTTCCTGCAACGACAACATATGAGCAAGACATCAGTGGTTTGTATTAGAACATATACTTTACGTTCTATTACTAGTCCTGCTAGGAATTAACTGTATAATTAATAATTTCAAGTTCATTAATATTGTCATTAAACTCTGGTAATTAGTGTTCATACAGTCTAATATCATTTTGTTAAGTCAAAAATCACAAGTTCCTCACATGTATGTACTTGTATAACCCCAGAACAATACATACTTTGAACTCCTGAAACAACAGTCGTTCCTTTCAGGCCGGTCTCTATGAAGCCTCTCATCTCACTGAGCTGTCACTAACATTGGTGTGTTTGATGTCTGAGAGTTTTAATATAAAGCTACTGCAGTGTGGTTGTCCTTGTCGTCTTTGAGAGCCAAAAGGCTCAACAAACAACATATTATATTAAACAACATTTAATATCATGAATGAACGGAGGAATTTTCCCACATCTTATTCATCACATGTTTAAATCAAAGTACTTTACTTAACTTTATATTTTTATCCACGGCCTCTATAAACAATACAATGTCCCAACAAGGCCTCTACCTCAGTGGTATGACACTTAATTAATACTCAGAAATTAATGCGTTTTAAAACTGGTTAGAATGAGTTTAATGGGAAGAGGTAAAATATATAGGTCGATGTTTTTGTCACAAAGACTAATGCAGGGGTGGGGTGGGGGGGGGGGAAGTCAACGGTTCTTGTTATAAATTGCGAGTAAAACCATGTTTTCTAAGGGTAAGTATTTGTGTACTCACTGAGACAAAGTAAGGCCCAGCAAAGTCTCGTATGACTCCAGTGGAAGTGCAGATTCCCATGTGACCGATGAACGGAAACAACCATCTGAATTAAAAAAAAAAAAAAAAACAGAAAACATTAACCTTTATTTATTTACATCTATTTAAACACACAATAATAATAATTGGTGTGCAAAGGCAGTTTATACAGCACTCAGAGGTTAAGAATTCCTTTTGACAGACATTTGACACAAGTGTGCTAAATAAGGTCACAGTGATTGGGTCTATTGAAAAGACAAATGGCTAAAAAAAAATGCACCATTATTTTTTGAACACATCGGCATGACCAAACTGTTCCTCAAGGGGTCGTGTGTCTGCAGGTTTTTGTTCCAACCAACCAAGAGCACATAGTTTGACCAATCAGCTGTCTGAAGACTGAGTTGATTAAACCAGTTGATTAAACCTGTCAACTCAGGTGTGCTACTGCTTGGTTGGAACAACCTGCAGCCACAGCGGCCCTTTGTGGAACAGTTTAAGCACCTTAAGTTTTACTTTTATTATCTCTATTGTTCAACAACGTTATTACAATGAGGTTAAATGTTGTGGATCCGGGTGCATTGCTGTTAGCATTTGTTCAATTAAAGATAATAAATTATAAAAAAACAGCACAATCTCACGATTCATTACCAGAACTTTTTTTAGGCACCCGTTGCTTGCATTGCACAGAAATAAACATTAGTTTAAACAACAACTCCTTTATAAAAAAAAACCGAGATAAATTTGTTCTGTTTATGTCAGTGTCATTAGTTTGACGTTTATTAGCAAACTATTTTTTTAGCCGTAGAACTTTCTCGTTTAATTTCAATATTATCAACACCGACATCATTGTATATTTATAATAAAAGTGTTGACATTGTATTCGTGTACAAATAACTAACGGTTAAATGCTGTTATATGTGGTATGTCCACTATTATTTTAAGAGAAATCAGCAACAGGATGTTTGTTAGCAGGCTAAGCTAATCAAACTGTGTTCGGTTCGGCGGTCGAACTGCACACTGCCACCGGCAAACACTCACGATAACACGGGGATAGGTGTCCAGACAATACAGTATGGATAACGGCAGGTCTGTGGGTCAATTTTCTCGGACGCTATGTGGTAATTCTTCATGCTTTCTTTCTCAACATCATCCGCCATCATCAGCTGCGAAAAACGAACTTCATTTGTCCCACTTCCACCTGCGTCAAGTCGAACGAATTCTAACACGGAGCAAGGACAGGAGTGTGTGCGAGTTCCTTCAAAATTAAAATAATAAGCATTTTTATTTTAACATAAAAATAACCATCGTGCACCAGTGAAAACAGTATTCAGTGTCGTGATACAAATACAAAAGGACATCATTTTATATTTGAAATTCGTATTATATAATAATCGTATTCAGGAACGTACACTATTCTATTTGTCTTGACTACCTTTTATTTTGTAGCAGCAACAGCAGCTTCCGGGGAATTTGCAAACACGACGACCTGCAGTGTAACGCTTTTTTTCATGTTGGTAAACAACTTAAGCGTTTTTTTTCATTTAACTAAAGTTTAATTTCCTTTAAAATAAAATAAAAAATAAATAAACATGTCATGGTCATCCATGTTTTTGTCCTTTATTTTTGAATACAATTCCTGCAAGGTTTAATTACGTAATATAAAATTAAATAACCTAAGTAAAATTACTAAATGAAAATTATATAACTCCACCAACTCCCGATGTTAATTGGAGATGAAACCCTGCAGGAATACTCACCTGTGCTTACATCTAACTGGGAAACACCGCAAACATAAAGCTCTGGATTTTCTTAATGGGGCACTTAAAGTTGTCCACATCTGTAGTTTTTGTTGTTCTTCTTCTGCCTATGTTTACAGTGTTTATCAAGCAACTTTAAGCTTTTCTGCAGCTTATTTCTAATAGGTGAAGTGGTGAGGAAACGGCCTTTTACTGTAGCACAAGTTATATATGGCAATGGTGGAAACCGAAACAAAGACAGACCCAAGGGATCTGCCGGGGCCCTGTGTGCGCCATAGTGTGTCCCATTACATGTGACAGGTGATATATAGTGGGAAGGACAAAAACAAGCTACTCAGCAAAAGCAGGTAGACATTGATAAACGAAGGCACACCGGGCTCATCATCGGGGAGCTGAGGGAATTCTCACAGAAAATGCCATCTCGATATCGGGCTGAGCTATCCAACCCAATTAGACCAGGAGAAGTGCTGCTTTTGCAGCTCAACTCCGCAACACTGCTATCCTTTTCAGTCAAAGGTCTGAAAAGTATAATGTCAAGTATCCACTATACAGTTCCCACTTCATCTCCTGAGTCTGCTGTTACCCAGCCAGGGAATGGGCAAGATGAGAGTTTCATTCCGCACTTTCAGAAACGGATTCACCACAAAGGCCGTATGAAAGAGCAAAGAAGTCAAAACAAAGTTGTGTTTGTATTTTTTTATTTTTTATTTTTAAAGTGAAAGAAGGAGTGGTTTCTCATTGGCAATTTTAAACCGACACTGCATGTTCACAAAAAACCCCAAGGGTAGAAGCTCACTTCATTAGAGCCGTATGAAATGTCACTTATCTAAAAATCACACAAAGGCACACATGTGGAAAACTCAGATAATGAATTGGTCCATTGATCTAGTGTAATTTGTTGGATTGTGACATTGATTTTTTTTCTTGCCCTGGCCAGAACAATACAGCAAGTCTCAAAATGTCATGACTAAGAACAGAGGGGAGGTCATTAAAATGTGACCTGCAGTTTTTTGATTTGCCGTGTAAGGCACAGGGGGAATAAATGGACAACCTGACCTTTGATATGCCCTTTTGCCCCATGTGAGATTAAATTAGATTGTAATCAAGAATGTAATTGGATATATTATCTTGATTACAATCTAATAATCAAGAATGTAATTGGATATATTATTTTAATTGAGACAGATAATCACCACTCATTTACATTTTTCTAAATATATATTTGGTATGTTTTTTATTGCCTCAAAAAAGAGACAGTCACCAAGACTAAATGCCCCTTACAAATCCAATGATGCATTAAACTGCTAAACTGTGCTTTAAATCTCCATGTTAGTTGGTGTAAAGTGGTTTGGGTTAAGAATTTCTAAAACTCTGGCTGCTGGACCTTGCTTTCCCAGCGGGCCCTCAGCAGAATGAGCAGTAGAAGATCGATGGGCCTTCATGGGATGACGGCCTCTGTGAGAATTTGAAACTTGAAACCAATGTGTTTACAAAACTCAATCACAGCTTGGTTTATGTGGCACTGGACAAAACACGCCGTACATACACAAGACCGTTGAGAACATGCACCTGTCACCAGTGGTCTTTCGGAGTAGACTTCAGTACCAAGGATGAGCAGCGATCTCATTTACGAATGAAACACTGCCTCTCTGTGGACGTGTGAGCGAGTTGCTGAATATGGTAAGGTATGTAGGAGACCCCACCCAAAAACGATGGTACTAGTCTCTACAGCTCTTTGCACAAGTACATGTATTTATACTAACCCTGGAGAATTGTTTTTTTTAGTCACATGATCGCAGTTGTGCAATTTTTGTTTGGCAATTACGAGACATTTCAGATGACCCCATTTGAATTCCACATGGGGTCCTGACCCCACGGTGGAAAGACACTGCTTTACTGTTTCTTTTACCAGTAATAATAGTTTAAAGTTGGCTTTTTTCCTGCTTACTATAAGACACAGATGAGACATTTATTAAAGATACACAAAGCATGTAGCAGAACATCTGTTGTCCTATTTTGACACGACTGCCTCTTTTTAAACGCAACTCTACAGATGACATTTTTCAAAAGGTCATTCAGTGACCAATCGCGCAGCGATACACATTAAAAGTTAAGTAACGTTACATCACTGCAGCCGTACTTTATGCAATGTTATTTGGAAATTAGACATCTAAATTTTGCATGTTGCACTTTTACATATTTCGATGACTAGAAAAAAACAATATAGTGAACTGGTTAGTCCGGTGTGGAACAGGAAATGTGCGTTTGAGAGAGATAAACACACAGACAGAATGGAGGCAGCGAAATCCTTCAGCCGGAGACGGCAGTGCATTTTTCAGAGGCTACGTGTTTGTGTGTAAAACTATAAATACAGACAAAGTTTGCGTGTGTGTGTGTGTGTGAGACATTTTTAATGTGGTTTCCGAGGCTTGATTTAATCAGTTGATCAGTTACAACTTTGGCACTGTTGCCCTGTTAGTGTCGTCTGTTACTTTGAACAAATGAGTGCAAATTATTCTAAATTCACTGGTTCGTTGATATTTTGTTTTGAAGTAGAAGAAGAATGCAACATGTTATAGAGAAAATTGTAACTGGCGAAGGGGACTAGATGGAGTACTAGGTGAACCCACAATCTTTAGCAACAGAAAAGGAAATCCTACCACTTGACCACTCCGGGTCACAAGTTCCGGTTATATACAGGCAGACACATACTTGGAGTAACAATGCAGTTCAGGAGTAATATTTACACGCTATTAAGAAGCAACAACCTCATGCACAGTCCGGACAACTTAACATGTACATATCCACTGAGAAACAGAACTGCAGGCCCGACATTTACCTCACGTCTTTGAGATCACAGATCAAACGCAACTACAAACACATACTGCACATTTAGCCACCTGCTGGAAACAAGTTTTTGTTCTTTAAAAGTTAAGCAAACAAGTATGTCAATGATGTTGTTGGAAAAACTAGACAGTCTACGCTGAACAGACTGTTGCTCAAGTGTCAAGAAACTACGCTAGGAACTTTAATAAGGACATAATTATGTTTAAAAAGGCACCTTTGGTATGATGATTATTTTGTCACACAGAACACAGCAACAATGATGTATGGATTTTATGTATTGATTGATTTTTGATACTCTCTTGACTTTAAAAAAAAAAAAAGCTCTAGCAACCTCCATATAGCAATAGATTTACTTTTGGTTTAATGACCTAATTCACTTATTGTAGTTTCACCAACTGCGTCGTCTTGTTTATCATTTGTTGCACGAATCTGTCTCTCTCAATGGCGTTGTTCAAAAAAGCTGCCATGTGCAGGCGCAGAGTCAGGAAATTCATTTGTAGAAATAAGAAGGTGTCTTGTTGCGCCATCTTCTTTATCTTTCACGATCATGCCTTCTGCCATGCACTAATTTGCTACTACGTGAAATACTAATGTTTTGGTTTTTTTTTTTGCTGAAAACCACAGTCGTTTTATGAATTATATTCTTTTCTGGAAAGAAAAAAACAACAGCAGAGTTGTTTTTAAGGCTCATGTCTCATACACGTGATTTGGATAGCTGAACTGTGGTATTTGCATGTTAAAAAAATCATCTCACAAAACATACAGTCAGTGTCAAAGAATGTTCCAGGAGTGTCCGCGCCCACGTAGTCTGTATTTACTGGACCGGTTGTCTCTGTGCAGTTTTTCATTGTGTTTTTTTTTTTAATAATCTGAGTAATTTTTTATGCAGGACTGGCTGATGATATCTGTGACGAAAAAGTAAAAAAAAAAACACATTAAAAAAAGATAATCTTCATACAACTATTAAGCAAAGCAGCAAAAACGCGTCTTTCACAACAGCTTCAGTTTATTCACAAAATTCCACCAGGGTGTTTTTTTTTATTCTTTAAATAAACAAACTTTAGAAAAAGAACAGTGATCCGAGAAAGAGAAGGAGCGGCTGCGTTTCCGGTAAATATTTTCACAATAAAACGACAGTCGGTACAGTTTAGTGTTCTGAAATGTGTGTACATTAGAAATCTGGAATGTAATTAGAATATGTTAAATTACAATTAATTATGTGAGAAAAATTATATATATATTGCTACAGTCAAATAAGTGTGTGTGTGTTTTAGTAGTTAAAAAAGCCATGCACTGTAGGTAGATGGGAAAATAACAAATAACAGTACATTCATCACTATTGACCAATATGCGTGTAGTAATGTTACTGAACCCCCCCCCCCCCCCGCCATAAAAAAAATGACTAAAAAAACACACAAAATGTTATTGTTAATTTCTTTCTCGTCTGAGAGGTTGATTGACACATTTATGTATGTAAGGAAATGTTATTTTATATAGAAAGGACATTTCCGGTAGGGTTGTTACGACACTAAACTTGACTGTGGTTGGTCACTTGAAAGTTGAATGTCTTGAGTGCATTTTTGTCTCCGGGGCGCAGAGTCAGGAGGTGTTCAACCCAGGCCAACACCGTTTGATTGCACACACAAGCGGAGAGGCCCCAGCAAGGTGCTGGTCAGCGGGGAAGTGAACGCATCTGACCGCCTGCCGAGCTGAGGTGATGTAGGAAAACGTTACGCCTTTGTTTTATGCCGTGTCACAAACTTTGCTTTTGTTATAGTGTCGAAGTTTCCCAGCAGCGTCATGTTACACGTTTCTACCTGTGATTCAATGTTTGATGCGTGCGTTCTGCACAGCAACTTCGTACCAGTGCAGAGGAAATTACTGTAATGGCTGGAGGCGTTAGAAATGAAGAAGGGAGTGAAGAAGCATTTATCTTTTGCTCTCAGTTTTTGTTTTAATGTATTTTTTTTAATGAGGTGTTCACCCTGTACACCAGAGAATAACATGATACCTATGATCTAGATCCATGGCTTAGATTTAGGGCTTGATTTATTATTTAGTGATTCTTGATGTATTGTAGTTATTCATCTTTATTTATAATTATAGGTGCTATCACATTATTTATTATTAATCTAGCTTGACTTATATCTTACCGTAATGTCAAACAGCAGCAAGACTTTCCTGTAAGGATGCAAAATAAACAGTACCGCCTGAACAGGGACTTGAACCCTGGACCCTCAGATTAAAAGTCTGATGCTCTACCGACTGAGCTATCCAGGCTCTGTGTTGTCCACAAGAAAGCAGATCTTCGATCAACATATCACCTAAAAACTTTAAGGTGTTCCAAATCACCCCGATACAGTTTTCAACCAAATCTTGTTCCAGATTTTCAAAAAAAAAAATATATAAATAAAAATGTTATGATGAAAGTCAGAATTGAGATTGAACCAATCAAGACTTGTGTAATAATGCTAAATAAGTAGCATCGCCTGAACAGGGACTTGAACCCTGGACCCTCAGATTAAAAGTCTGATGCTCTACCGACTGAGCTATCCAGGCTCTGTGTTGTAACCAAGTAAGCAAATGTTCGATCAACGTATCAACTGGAAAAATAAAAGTATTTGACCTCTTCTTTTTCAGTGATCAACTTCCTCCTGGCAGTCATGGCGACCATTGTGGTGGAGAGAATTGGGCGATTGTTCATCAGCCTGCAGCAGATCAGGCAGATTCCCCAAATGCTCACTGAAGCTGCACCATCTATGCCTGACACGGTCAGAGACGCAGACGTCCCTCATTATTTCAGGGAGTGTAATGTGAAAACAGGCTACAGGCCACTTCACCAGAATTGGCGCTATTACTTCCTGTCGTTGTTCCAGCGTCACAATGAGACCATCAATATCTGGACGCACTTGTTGGCCTTTTTAATTTTACTGATCAAACTTCGACATCTTACCGAGACCGTAGACTTTGTGGGTGACCCTCATTCGTGGCCCCTGTTGATTCTCCTTCTGTCCTCTTTAACCTACACGGCCTTTAGTGTAACAGCTCACTTGCTGGGCAGCAAATCTAAGCTGTGCCATTTTGCCTTCTATTTCCTGGATTATATCGGTGTGGCACAGTATCAGTATGGCAGTGCTGTAGTTCACTTTTACTATGTCATGGATGAAAGCTACCATCGACACGTTCGTGGGATCTTCATGCCAGCTGCCACCCTCCTCAGCTGTCTGTCCTGCCTCGGCTGCTGTTACGGCAAATACTGCAACTATGGCCGGCCAGCGTGGGTGCGCAAGGTCGGTCAGGTGGTGCCCTCCGCGATTGCCTACATATGGGACAGCAGTCCTATCATTGGGAGACTCTTGTCCTCGTCCAGCGTCACTGAGGACCCTGCACTCATTTATCACTTTGGCCAGGTGGGGTTCTTTCTCGGTTGCGCCTTTTTTTTCACCTGTCCAGTTTTTGAACGCTGCTTTCCAGGACAGTGTGATTTCTTGGGACAGGGTCACCAGGTTTTCCATGTCTTGCTATCTTGTTGCACACTGTGTCAAATCCACGCCTCTTACCTGGACTACATCGGTCGAAGGGAGCTGTACTCACACCTGCATGGAAACGGTGAGGCCTTAGTCTTTGTGGGACTCTATGCTGTCACTTTAGTTGCATGTGGGTTCATTTATGTAGTCATGCTACGAAAAGCAAAACGAGAGCTTGACCTGAGGTCCGAGTAACACCACTGTTTTCAGTTTTTCTTTCTAACTTAGATGACTAACAACCTAATCTGAGGCCATGCTTTTATTTTGTCGCTTTCATTTAATTGTAGCTCAAACACTGTTAGCACTGTTGCGCACTCTGCCAAAATAGTCATTTGAAAGCATTCACTGCCAGTGTCTTTCACTTAGGCTAAATATTTATCTATAAGATTTATTAAAATATCACCACTGTTAGTCGTTAGAAGATATTGTGTTAAGTCTCTTACTTGATTTTTTTTTTAGAAGCACCAGCAAGTAGTTCATGCAGTACATGCAGGTTTTTACTTGTCATGTTATCGCCATATTTAAACAGGGCTAAGTGAATGTACAGAAAAATCTTCCCGGGAAAGAAAATGTTCTTCTGTAATCTATGGAGTTTTAAAATTACACATAAACAAGTATATTTTAACATGTTCAAAGACATTGTTACTAATTTAGCGGAAATAATCATGTTTGGTTTGTGTGTCCTGTAATGACAATCTAAGGGACCTTTTGAAACTTCAGCAGCTAATTGGATTTTAGCCATACTTTGATTTAATATCGAAACCTGGGCACATACTACTGAACATGGCCTTTTTGAAGCCAAGTTTTTTAATTGAATATAGAAACTTTTATATGTTACATAAATGTACTACTTATGCATAAAGGGACCATAACTATGTAAGATTTAATTTCGGAGACTTTGATGCCTACTACTGACCAGGATACTATATGTTTAATAAATATATTTCTCTGTGGAAAATGATGTTGACACATTTACTGAACTTCTCATTTGAATGTTTGTTATTCTGAAATACAGTTTACAGGTATGAATAGAGTAAATGCAAGTAATTGTTTTCATTTTCTTTTGTGAAATTGTGTTTTGTATTTAAAATAAAATAGTCACCTAACAGATTGGAAATAAAGTTGAAGGATGCAAAATAAAAGTCCGTCCTTTATTGTGAAAGCCCCGTCGGAGGAACTTCCCTCCCACTGCGTTCATCGCCACAGCTTGTCACAGGGCTGAAAAAAAAGACTGCTTTTCTGCAGGCACACAAAGGGCGTGGAAGAAGCAGCAAGAATGGGCATCAAGCTGTACTACACTACAGTCACTGCCTCACGGACGGTGAGTTAAATTGCTTTAATGAGTCAGCACGTTTCGCGTCAGATCTTTGCTTGTAATTCAACTGCAGACGAGGTTAGCAGCGGCTAACAATGCAACAGACACACCTAGTGCCCTATCAGTGACCGCTTCCTCTATACTCACGGTGCAGCGGGCCTGTGCAAGTTGTGCCTTTTATTCTAGCAATGAAACGTCAGCGTTGCTTTGTTGCAAGCTTTGCATCGGATTAAAGTTATCATCGGGATTACATGATAATGTGCCTGCACGTGAACGACACAGAAGTCACTGTTGGATGTTTTGTTTACAATGGGGTGTGTCTGTTATGTAAAATAAACGGCAATATTTTGACAGTATTATTAAATAATAGAAACGAAGGCCTGCCAATGAGATTTTTTTATTGTCAGAATTGGCTTCTATTATTCTATTTTGTTCCCACGGAAACGGTACACGAGACTTCGTGTTAAATTATGCAACTTCTCTGATGTTCGGCATACTCCAAGGTGAAAGTTTAATTTAAATGTTTTACCTTAGACGCTACAAACGACAGTGTTTCAAAGCACGAATTGAATATCCGTTCAAATGACTCACTCCGTGTCTGTCAGAAGCATTTTAAAAATAGGGTCAACATCCGGTTTTTTTTCCACTGCTTGTCAAACGCATTACGGTTTGGCAATAATTCCCCAAATTATTCTTAATTAGGAGCTTTAATGCCGACTTAATACAATAAAACTAATCAACGAAAATATTTATGTAAATGTAAAATTAACCTATTTCCGTTCATATGCATGTGCTCCATGAAAAGTAAAACATTTTTTAATGCAAATGTTTTATTTATTTATAAAAGTTTAGTTGGAAGTTGGAAAATGTGACGTCATTGGAGACGCGGGCGCCATGTTTTAACGCACAACTTACAAACAGTTAATAATGTATTGTAATGCCCTTGACCGCATGTGGTTTCAATTAAAAGTGACGAATGCAGTCAGTGGAAAACTGAGCAGTTTTTTTTTTTGGTTTGGTTTGAACTTCCTGTATAACATGATAAAAATAACATTTACCAGAGATTGTTTTATTTATTTATTTATTTTTTTAACTATTCAATTAATTTCAAATGCGGGAACACCACATGACTTGTTAGTGTGCATACAGTAGTTCACTGTTTTCCTCTCAGAGAACATGACCTGAGGAACGACCACCCGTCATATCACCAACCAACATTTGTGTCCCGGTGATTGTGTGCTTGTTTGGAGTGTGTGTAGTGTCTTTAGGTGTGGTTCGGGTCACATTTGTACACACCACCCATTTCCCCACTTCCTCCACAGTTCATGCCGATTAATCACCCAAGCGTGACTCGTACAAACGCCTGGTGTCAAAGCACACGTGACTTCAGTGTAGGCGTTATCTTCTCTATTTCAGAACCAAGGGATTCAAGTTGAGTGTGTATTCAAGACTCTTGACAGTTTTCCTTGTTCCTGCTGCTCCTTCTGCCTGACTCATTGTTTATGATAATGACTCAGCAAGAGCTTTTCCCCTTTTTTCAGGAGGGTTGTCCATACGTGGGTAGTAAAAACAGACGTTGGATTAAGAGGAGTTTCCATCATGAAATTCCTTCTTTATGAATTTATATGGGATGTCTTTGGCTTCTGGTTGCAACTTGCTTTGTTGCTTAATCTAAAAAAATGAAAGTGAATTTGTGTTTCTCTCAGGTGAAGTCTCAGCAGGCAGAAATGATGAGGATCCTGGACAGTAAAAGCATCCAGTACGAGCTCATCGACATCTCGCAGGACGAGCAGCTGCGTAATGAAATGAGAAACAAAGCGGGAGATCCCAAAGCTGGCCCTCCCCTGCTTTTCAATGAAGAGCAGTACTGCGGGGTAAGGGACGCAAAACCATAATCAATCATTGTTGTTATTGCACAAAGTTGCTTTTGTTGATTAATATCCTGACACTTGTTTATCTTTGCTCGTCGTCTCTTATCTCTCCGCAGAACTATGAGATGTTCTCTGAGGCCGTTGAAGAAAACTCAGTGGAACAGTTTCTGAAAATGGCATGAGTGCCTGAGGTCGGCTGTAATTCTTCACCTTAACCACAGCTGGCTCTCCAACCACCCACTTCTGCCCTGATGGCTGCCCTGTCTCCACTCTCTTCGCACCAATGACCACGTCCATCCACATTCAATGCCACAATGAAGAATGCCAAATATCTCCAATTTAACAAATCTGATGACACCCCCTCTCACCCCTCACTGCACCAAGTTTAATTGTAGATTTAATTGTAGTCTTAATAATTTTACTTTACTATATTTGTTCTTTTTTTTTTTTTTTAATATCTTATATACTTCTTCCTGTGTGACAGATCAGTGTTAATGATTCTTGTAGTCCGTGTACAAATCAAACCAGTGTGTATAATTGGCGGAAATTATTATAGGCTAATGTTGGTCGCATCCAAACGTTATCTGGAGATTAGGATTGATAAACGAGATGATAACATTCAAATCTGCATCTTCCTAATACCTGGCAGAGCAAGTACACACCGTCGCTCAGTCTTAAGTACATTGTTTTTCCGAAGCCTTCAAGTTCCCATGTTGTACACAGGTGTGTTCTCCAAACCGAGATAAACACAGATAAACACAGACGTAGCGAGGAGACGGATGTCTACTACAATGCTAATGACGACACAAAGCAGCTGAATGGAACGAGTTTATTTGACTAAACTGGTCAAACATTTGAGTCGTTAGCCGGTTAACGTTAGCGTCCGCTTATAAACCATGAACGTGCTCCTAATATTCCATGTGGTGCCATTGTCAGGGATGCACTTTTGCTGCTAGATGTTCACAGCAGGACCAGTACTTACTTGATACTTTGTGTTTTTATTTTTCAAATATATGACTGTACATCTAAGCTACATTTCATGACAAGCTGACAAAAGCAGACAGACACATTCCAAACATTTCACAGGTGCAAGTGCAAATGACTGAACTGAAAAAAAAAAAAAAACCTGGGTTACCTACTTACAGTTTTTTCCAGATATTCCTTTTTCTGTAACTGTTTTTTTTTTTTTTTTTTGACTATGCACAATAACCTTGCCTCCATGTGATTAAAGCTGCGTTTAGGTTGACCTGACTCAGTCTTACAATCTACGCCTTAGGGAGCAAATAACACATGGGAAGAATGAAGGCTTTACTTTTCTGTTCTTATGATGTACACGTGTTCTGTGTTCATCAATCTGATTAATCTCAGTTGAAATGTATTTTTTTTTTTGTTTTTGTTTTGGTCTTTTACTTGATCTTCTCCCCCTCGTGCTTTCGTGTTCATGTTGTTACACGTCGGGAGCCCCACTAATGACTGGCTTCGCTCACAACGTCTGCACTGTTTTGTAAGGTTGTGAATGTGATTGAACCATGTTTTAAACATTCCATGTGTCTCTTTCTCTCTCTCTCTCTCCCTCTCTCTCTCTCTTACTCTCTGAGCTCCTGCTTTGCTTTTGTACCAATTCCCCTTGGCCAAAAAAAAAGAACAAAATAGGGAATAAAATGCTGTTGTCTTCCAAGAAGATTGTGAAAAGTGATTCATGGATTGAAGGAAATAAAAGAAATCTACCTGTCAGTGTTTCGGGTTTTTTTTTTTCTTCCTCTATTGCTGTAGGACTGTGATGTATTCTACTTGGACTTTTCATTTCCTTGACAAAAGTAAGTATTTATGCTACGTTTCAGCCACTTCCTTATAGCAGGACCAGACTAGTCGCTAAGTCATTGTGATTTCATCAAAGTCTCCCACAGCAGAGACCCATTTTAAAAGGAAGCTGGAGGATAATTAATGTCCATTTCATTTAGGTTTTGGGAATTTTTTAAAGCTTTTAAAAAATTTCAGTTTTTTATTGTCTAAAAAATGTGTTCTGAGTCCAAACTAGCTAGATTGTTTATTGCAGAGAGTGTGTTTGCCTGCTGTGCATCAGTCTGCTATTGAACATGTCAAGTTCAGAGCAACAAGTTAAAAAACAGAAAAAGTAAAAACAAAAAACAAACATAACATTTGAATACACTTTTTGATGTGCACCAGAATATTGTGCACATAAGATTTAAAATGAACTCACCCTGCCTTTTTAAATAACTAAAATATATATTAAAGATGGGTTTATTGATTTGTATTACAGAAAGGGGAAATAAAATCAGTACTGATACGGGTATTGCATGCAAAATATCCCTGAAACCTGTGTATATAGGTAAATGTTATTGTGTTATTTGAATCACAGTTATAAATGAGTCTCAGTTGCAGTACGACTGCCTCTTCCTTAGATGGCGGATACATGAACGACTCGGCTTTCTTCACTGAATAAGGAAACGACGATGAAGACCGGTCGTCAAGTTAAAACTATGTTGTGCACAAACAAAAATCTATATCTCTCCGTTTCTTGAACACGTTTTTAGGTTATAACGAGGTAAAATTTACATTCCACTGATTTACCTCAAATCATATTATTGAAACAGTCGTGAATAAATAAATTCTTATTTCATGTCAAATAACTATTGGGTCTTTTATTTTGAAATGACCAGGAAGTGCTGCTCTTAGTCAACAGTTCCTGGAGAAGTAAGCTGTCTAAATTTGACAGGACACTAAGGTAAAGGGAATTATTCGTTGAATGAAATAAACCTTTATTCAGAGGCAGTAGCGTTGCTGAAGGTAAAGTGTGCAGGACAGACATTTATATTGCAGTGCACGTGGCAAATGTGCAAATGTTATGAGTATAGCATTCATAGAACAGTTAGCTTTGCTAAGCTAAAATCTGTCTCAGGTGTTCTGAGAGCTTTCATTAGTGAGCAATTTCCAATGCATTGAAAGCTTACGTAGATAACGTTATGAACCAAAGCGGCTGTCTGAACTCCACACAGTGCTGTCGCCACGTCTGCCCACTGCACTAACCGTATTGTTTACATTTGGATGTTTATGTTTACGTATATAAATCCGGGAGCGTGAGCTGCGTGCGTTCTTGGCTGTGCACAAACGTTTACAAATACTTCTGAGTTTTTATACAAAACCACGTTGGTTTCCTACTCGGCTTTTTTTTGCAGCAATTCCCTAGAAAAGGAAGATACTTTGCAAAACACACAATACCTTTTTTTTTATATTTAATAATGTATGAGTTGTTTTCTCTGGTGTTCTAAGAATATTTTGTGCAATATAAAATACATGGGTAATAAATGCTATTTTTTAGGTAACACAGCCACAACATGTAAGATTTTCTTGTGAATTGTTACATGATAACAATATATATTATATTATATTATATATAATATTTATTTCCTATAATATTTCCCATTTCTTAGGAGAATAAATACAAATATTAACCATGTGTCCTATTACTCCTTCATAATAAAAGCATCTTCTATGTAAATAATGACAGTATAGAACCTCTGCCTTACACAAACTGACCCTTGGAGTCTAACCTTTGTTTCCCTTTATATGTTCACCGAAGACACTTGCGAAGATGAGTGTCCCCGACTACCTGCAGTGTGCCGAGGATCATCAGACAGTCCTGGTGGTGGTCCAGCCGGTGGGCATTGTCCCCGAGGACCAGTTCTTTAAGATCTACAAACGCATTGCCAGCGTGAGCCAGGTGAACATCAGGGACTCTCAGCGTCTGCTCTACATCCGCTATCGCCATCACTACCTGCCTGAGAACAACGAATGGGGTGACTTCCAGACGCACCGCAAGGTGGTGGGTCTCATCTGCATCACCACGTGCGCCTCAGCCAAAGAGTGGTCCCAGACCGCCGAGCGCTTCCACGGCCAGAAAGAAGTGTACAGCTCCACCCTGTACGACTCGCGGCTGCTGGTGTTTGGGCTGCAGGGAGAGATCGCGGAGCAGCAGCGGACAGACGTGGCCTTTTATCCCAGCTTTGAAGACAGCACTGATGTGGAGAAGAGAGTGGAAGACTTCGTTGAGTCCATATTCATCGTCCTGGAGTCCAAGAGGCTGGACCGGGCCACGGACAAGTCGGGTGACAAGATTCCTCTGCTGTGTGTGCCGTTTGAGAAGAAGGACTTTGTGGGTTTGGACACAGACAGTAGGTGAGTTGTTCTCATTCGTTGGCCAGTCATGATGCGTGTCCATCACCGCCACGTCCACAGGTCCCCTCTCAAAAATCTGACTTGGTTTTTGCCGTTGTTTCATGTTTCTTTATTTACCTTCTTTCTTTTGTCTTTCTCCATACTGTCCTGTGAGTTTATTGTGGGGTTTGAACAGGTGAGATGGTAGATTCTCTAGATGACCAGTAGTTGTCTCATACCAATCCTGTTCTCTTGAACTGCGCCCGTCTGATTGGTCCCTTGCGCAATTTCCTTAAAATTCAAAGTTCGTCACTGATGTTCTAATGAAGAGTGAAGGTGAACATTCTTAAATCCACAGTATTGGCATACATATAAAATACATTTAAAAAAAAAATGTTTTTGGAGTGTCACTTTCCTGCCTCCTGATCCGCTTGGTTTTCTTTCCTTGACCTTTCCGTTTCCAAGATATCCTCACTAAAACAGCATTAAAACAAACTACATTCCTTTCTGTTCCCAACCAAAACAAACTACATTCCTTTCTGTTCCCGTTGAGCTGCCTCACCCTGAGTTTTTCATCCGGAAGAAGATTAAGTGTCTCCTCACACTAATCTGTCCTTTCTCTTGTTGCTTTGCTTTCCTTTCCTTACCCTCTGTAGCTGATGGATAAGATTTGATTCTAGCCTCCTGTCCTGAGAGAACAATCATTTTATTATCTACTGCAGATAGATGTGTTTTTATTTGGAAAAAACTACAATATAACAAATGACACAACAGTAAACAACAATGTTTGATTCCAAACTTGAGGCCCTTTTTATCCTGCAGTTTTCCTAATATTTTTTTTTCTCTCCAGACATTATAAAAAGCGTTGCCAGGGGCGGATGAGGAAGCACGTCGGGGACTTGTGTCTCCAGGCCGGCATGCTGCAGGACGCTCTGGTCCACTACCACATGGCTGTAGAACTGCTCAGAGGGGTTAATGACTTCCTCTGGCTAGGTGGTAAGTGAAGAGAGTGGCGCCACCAGCCTGCAGGCTTGTTTATCTGCTGTTGAGCCCCAAAACTGAATTTGCAGATGCATATAAGTTGTTGCAATTTTTTTATTTTCTTTTGCTTAACCATATGCTTCCAAAAATGTTAATGTTAATGAGAAATGTGATTTCATTCGTTTTAAAGTGCACTATTTTGAAATACCTGTGCCTAATGGACTGGACTGAGTATTTTATTCTATGCTAATCTGAGATTTTCAGACAAACTATTGTCTAGTCTAGGTATTGAGAAAAAAAAGAGTGATAAAATATTTTTTCAACTGATTATGACTCCTAAAAACAAAACAAAGCACTAAAACAAGTGCATTTTTTCACCTTCATGAATATAAATAAAATGCAGTGCATAGAAATACCTGTGCATCTTGAGTGACAGCTACCTGAGTTCCTTTTCACACCAAAACATTTAGGGCTAATAAGCGATATGCAACAGTTTAATTCAAAGATGGCAGATAGCAGTCCATAAATCCTTGCAGGAGACAAAAGAAAAAGGAGAAAGGAACTGGAGAATACTTTAAAGTTTACCTTTTTTTCTTTTTTGTCGGCAGCTGCGTTGGAGGGCTTGTGTTCAGCATCTGTTATATTTCACTACCCTGGAGGCACAGCAGGAAAGACAGCAGGACGCAAGCCAAGCCTTTCTCAGCCAGCAGACGCCGGCAAACGCCACAGACCAGGTGAGCACGTGACCGTGTAGCCAGATGGAAACAGAGGGAAAACTACCAAAACTCGCACGAGTTATGAGGATGCGAAAGCGACGAGGCTAACTCAGGGCTTTAAATATGACATGACTGTGTTCAGCTCAGCTGCTTGCATCGCTAATTTCCTACACGGCACAAGCTTTTCTAATTGACCACGGCTGCTTGATGCATTCATTAATGGAATCCACCAGCTCTGTTATTAATGAACAGTAACACTCATGTCGTCTCGTGCATGTGTCGGAATGATGCGCTTTATTATAGAATCATTTCTCTTGTGCTTTTAGTGTTTGATCTGTTTTTTTTAAATAATAAAAATCCGAAATTTGATGTCTTAATTAAACAAATGTTGCATGCTGCATGTGTTTTTTGTTTTTTACCATGTCCTCCAAGTGAATTAATATGTCCACTGAATCCTTAAATTGTTTAAGTTCAGAGTTCATCTGATTCAGTGAGTTGCTAACAGAGTGGTTTAAATCTGTGTCGTGTTGCTGTGAAGCAGACTAACACTGCTAACACTGCGCCTTGTCATGGAGTGAATTGGCATTTATTTCTCTCTGTCTGTAGGAGCTCAGGAGGTTCTCATTGATCCAGGTACAGTAAAACCAACCTCGTCTGCTGATCTCAGTTTGAATTTGCTTTTGATTTGAAATCAGCTGATTTTTTTTTCTTTTATTTCTCCTGTTTTGACCGTTTTACAATCGTGTTTTCCCTCCCGCTGCACCTTATTTTCTTTCGAAGCAACATCTTTTGTGTCCTTTATGACAAGTTTACTTTTTCAGCCCAGGTATTTGTACCCGCTCTCATCTCACTTGCAACTGTTTTGGAAGTCACACAATCACATCCGAAAAAACACATTTTCTTACAGATTTGAGCTCATTTGCATATCTCTGATGAAGAAGCAGCTGCAGGTTAAAGTCTACCGACAATTGTGTGTATTTTAATTTCCCCGCTGATGAATACTAACAGCTGTTCACTAGCCCACTCTCACAGTAGTGTAGCAAAAAAAAGTGGCCCGCTGTTAGCTTGTGCTTTCAGATTACATCAAACTCCACTTTAATCTGCTTTCGTGCAAATGTTAGCTCGAGTGTTTCCTCGTCAAATTTATTGTGCAGTTCCGCCAAGAAACAGTGCATCTCCACAGCATCTTATTATAAATGCGCTGTCACAGAGACACACCGCAGGGTTGGCTCAGCAACGTCCCGCTGCTGGGTGACATTTGGTATTTGTCTGCGAGCAGATTTTGCCTACAGATGCATCATCCAGTGGCTTCCAAAGGTGGTTTAAAACACTGCCATGGAAATGACAAAACTGGCAGCGAAAAAAAAAAAAATCTGGAAACCCCGTGAATAATATTCATGATTCATGAGTTATTGCTGTTGAAAAACACACATTTTTGACCAGAATAATCCAGAGCTATGGAGTAAATGTAATAAACCCCATATATACATCAACATCAGGAAGAAAATATCTCGTGCCGTTGATGTTCCAGTATCAACTCAACCAATACTGTTCTCTCCTGGATGTAGGCGCCCTCACAGCCAATGGCATCAGTGCAGACACCAGCACTGAGATTGGACGAGCCAAGAACTGCCTGGGTCCAGAGGACATTATAGAGAAATACAAAGAGGCCATCTCCTACTATGGAAAGGTATCAGTCCTTACTAGCCGAGCTGCTGACACAGCTGTATATATGCAATATTACATGTATATAGAAGCTTGTTTTGTTTTGATATTGCAGTATAGACTGATAGGTTAAGTATTAGGTTTCTGTATTGGATTCTGACAGAATATAATATATGGAAGGATTTGTACTGTTTGTTCAACTGTCTTTTTTATATCTTTCACTAGATGGCAGTATTTGTTAGTTATGCTGGGGCTTGAGGGCAGGAGTATTTTTATTCCTGCTATGCTCATAGCCAAAATCCACAAGTTAATATTTCTTCAGGTACTGGAATTTAGAAACAAACATGTGAGCATCTGCAAGTGAATCTAGTGAGAAACCGGGGGAAAAAAAAAAGACATTGCATTACATGAGTCCATTGTATCTGCTAGTGTTAGTTTGTTTGTATGACTGACGTCTGTGCATGCATCCTTATTGCTCAGGGAAAACCGACCAGGCTCATTATGCAGCCGCACCATGCAGAAGCCGCCCTGCGCTTCATCTTCATTATTATAATTGGCTTTTTGCACTGACCTCCTTCAGCCCTGTTACCTGGAACTAGTTCAGTCAAAATTAAATTATGTCTCAACACACTGCCATTTAGTTATTAATTTAATTTTAATGGAAGGCAGAGTGAAAGGAAGTGGAAGCAGCATATGATTAAAAAATATATATATATTTACTCTATATATGCATGTACTTGGTGTGTGGTGTTCAGCTTCAGTAGCTATAACTCCCCGGAAAATGAACAAAGCACCAGGGGATTCGTGTTATCGCACAGGCCTGACATCCCCAAGGTGTGCAGCCGGTGATGAAGCGGGTTATATGTTAATGAAAAAAAACCTTCCCTCTGATTAGCAGTTGGCTTTAGGACGTCACCGTGACCCTAATTAAGTAATTATCCCCCCCCCCCCCCCAACCTTGCCACTCTCTCCGCTATCTCTCACAGTACAAGAATGCAGGTGTGATCGAGCTGGAGGCCTGCGTGAAAGCGGTCAGGGTGCTGGCCATTCAGAAGAAGGCCAGAGAGGCCTCGGAGTTTTTGCAAAATGCTGTCTACATCAACCTGGGGCAGGTATGCTACATCAGTCTTCTGTTAATGCTCTTGTCTGGCTTGCCAGTGTAGATGCAGTCTAGTTAGGTCTACATAATTTAATGTTGTAATTAGTGCCTCAATGCCTGATGGGAGTTTAAACTACCATCAGGCTTTGAGGCATAGTTAACACAGCTAGTGATGAATGTATATATATTTAGGCAAAATGTATTGAAACCCCGCATACGTCTTCAGTTATGTCTTAAGGCCCCGACGTGGGCATAAGACATAAATTGAGGACACTGGGATTCACTCAGGACAATGTGCTGCAGCCACTGTACTGCTGGGAAGCAAGAAGCTCCATAAAGTGACATAACAGCATCACTCCATGACTCTCCGAGCTGATCTCTCCTGTGGCTCATTAGCCACATTTAAAAAAAAAAACCCTCTAAATTTAATTTTAGTTCTGCAGCTTTTACACGTCGCAGTTTTTGGGACTTGTTGGACTTGTTATGTTCCGAAACTCATCAGAAGTCGAAATAACTTTCCCCGGATCAGCAGCTGAATGTGAAAACGACCTTCCACTGTGACAACGTCTATAGCTTCATTCTGTATGCCTACGACCGGCAAGTACATTTACACCCTCACCGACGTGCTTGTTATTTCCATTGTTTTACATGTAACCCCAGCTCTCCGAGGAGGAGAAGATCCAGCGCTACAGCATCCTGTCCGAGCTCTACGAGCTGATCGGCTTCCATCGCAAATCGGCTTTCTTCAAGCGCGTCGCGGCCATGCAGTGTGTGGCTCCCACCATCCCCGAGCCTGGATGGAGGGCCTGCTACAAGCTGCTGCTGGAGACGCTGCCTGGATACAGCCTGTCCCTGGATCCCAAGGACTTCAGCAAAGGTAGGCCTGCACGGTGCAGTCAAACCAGAACTTTTTGGTTATTAAAAGTTCTTAGTCAATAAATCTCCTGGCTGTTGAGATGTTAGACCCTCGCTTGTTACGGCACTGGCCGCACAGAACGCAGTTGTTCAATAGCTTAAGGATAACTTGATTTTCTGCAGGGTTTGTTATTCCAAGGTCGATGAGCGATGCTTCCTCTGAGAGATACAGGAAACCGTTTGCTGTTGTTTCCTGTACACACAGTGATAACAGAGGAGCCAAGAGTTGTCGAGGTTTTTTTTAAGGCCCACAAACAGAATAATCACGCCATCAAGGTCTTTTCCTGACGCTTGTGTCTGTTTGAGATCTGGACTTGCAGATTTAAATGTCTGCTGATATTACAGGTCAAACTAAAGGCTATAATAATAATATCTTTGGCAATATGTTCAATTTTTAAAAACCCACTCTAATTGAAATTCTAAACCGCTAGTTTCGCCGTCGCACGTTGACCTACATGTATTGCACGCAGCCGGCTTTATCAGAGGCGAACAGGTCAGATCCTTTGTGTCACATTCTGTTGGACTGAGTCCCTCACACCCGTATTACTGTATGTTGTTACATTGGAGCCAGAGACATCCTTTAAAAAAAAAAAAAAAAAGTGTATAAAAGAGGATTACTGCCTGCCAGATAAGCCCTGGTTCTGGCAGGTAGGTAGGAGGCGGTGATTTTTAAAAATATAAAGTGGGTGCAAATGTTCCTCGCAAAAATGGAAATGGAAGAAACCGCATTTAGAGATGGACAGAGGGCAGAAAAGTTATTCAGGAAGAATAATCTTGGTGGCAGTAAAACGTTGATAAGCCCGAGAAATGTGGGCATTACGGGGTGTTTTTTGGAAGTGGCTTTCAGGAAACATCACAGTGTTTACCAAACAATTTCCCTCAGTCCTCCTTCGCACGTCGTTTCCTATAGTTTGCTTTCCCACTGTGTGAGTCAGGAGTCGACAGCTAGGAGTGGAGCAAAAAGGAACTCTTTAGGGGAGGTCTCGGGGCTTATGTAACAGTTTTGTGCAGCGCCACAAAGCAAACAGTTGGGGCAGCAGCAGGGTGGAGCACAGGTGATAGTCTCAAGTTTCAAGTTCAGACGCATGCGTGTCCAACTGTCTTCACTGGACCACCTTGGAGCGCACGTCACTTCTCCGCTTCAAACCGTTGCAGCGCCCCCAAGAGATTACGTTAGCAGCCAATAAAATTTACACCTCACTTTAGAACATCTTTCCGTTCCCATTCGACTTTAATGCTACGTATCGCTGCTTTTAAGATTCAGTTATGGACAGAGCACCTAGAGACAGATGTAGTGGTATGCTAAGTGAGGACCGGGGCAAGTATTGATGTGTGTTTTCCTCCCCCGTGTCCACTGTCCTCATGATCGTAGAAGTAGCCTCAGTAAATGCACAAAGCACATATATATATATATATATAGTGTACTTTGTTTCCAACAATGCACTCTCACTCCTATAAGTTTGAAATTTTCTGTCTCTCTCTCTCTCTGTGTCTCTGTCTACGTCTCTCTCAGGGACTCACAGAGGATGGGCAGCCGTACAAATGCGCCTCCTGCATGAACTCGTGTACGCCTCACGTCGAATGGGCAACCCCGGTTTGTCCGTACGCCACCTGTCCTTCCTGCTGCAGACCATGCTGGATTTCCTGTCTGATCAAGGTCGGCACTCCATGAACTGTGTATCAGTATTTCGGTCTGTTTTTTTTTTTTTCAGTAGCGAATCTAAACCCCGGGAGACTGCGATGCTCCGAGCATCGCAATCAGCCGTAAAGGAAAGGACAGAAACATCAGCAGTGTCCTCTGTGACTGCGCATTACTGCTTTTACTTAAAGCTAATGCACCTCTGTGCTCCGAACAGACATCCGGTGTGCTCACATGATGTTGTGTTAATCTAAGACGTCGTCAGCCAGACGGACCACAGGCCTCACAACAGTGAGGTTAAAGTCCCGGCTGGCCACAGACCCTGTGTGTAGAGGGAGGTAAGAAGGCAGGGAGAGATGAAGCAGGAGCAAACATCAGCACAATAACTTGCGAAGTGTTCTTAAAAAAACAAACAAAGCTCTGTCTACTCCTGCTGGGATTTGCTATGGTAAAATAGGATTACAAAGGGCAAACAGCAGCAGAGCAGTTAGAACCGTTGTTATGCAGCAATAAGGCATTTTACATAATGGCGACCTTTGCGGAATACATTCATTTCATCCAGTAGCTTTTGTGCATGTGTCCGTTTGTTTCATTATGGGCAGGCACTTAGTTTTAGTTGGACTGTCTGATGCTGTGTTTTAACAAGTGCGATATGACACATGGACGTCAGTGAGTGTGAACACACAATGTTATTTTTCAGTGTGTGGCCCGTAAAGATGCAGCGTCCTCCCAGATAAGTGCTTGGCGATGGCCGAAGAGTGAGTCTCGTCTTTAAACCCTGTCGGTCGGTTGCCTTCAAGGTGTTAATGCAGTTTATTTATCACCAGTTTACTGGTGCTTATTGTTATTCACGACGTTAAGGGTCACGAATGGACGTAGTTTTCCGCTTTTCCTTTCACACGCCGGGCTCTCTCCCACATCGTGGTAATTGCGTTGTGACTGTGGAGCGCCTCAGGTGACGGCTGTTGTAGCTCGTCGTGGTATTCCTAAAGTGTGTAGCTCTGAACACCTGGGAAAACCAGAAGGGACTAATACAAATCTGTGTATGAAAAGCTGACAGCTGGTGTTTGTTCCCCACTTTCATTATTTGCGAGGCCACATTTCTCCTGCAGACAAAGAATATTTTTATTATCTCAGGTGCCGTGGCGACAAGTAAACTGTCCCACACCTCCGGTTTCTTAATCTCTTGGGCTATGGACTGACAAAAGATGCTAAATCACTTGCACTCTCTGAAATACAACGCAGTGTTTTTATACTGTCATTTCAGCAAAACAATGAAGTCCACGCACAATTTGTCAAGATGGTTAATTACGTTATTTGAGAAATACTGATGCGAGCATGTTTGCACCTATGCAATACAAATGAAATACAATTGAAATACAAATGTATTTCGCCTTCGCCTCAACACTCGGTAATGCGTTCAAGACGAGTTTACAAAATCATTGTCTTTATCTGTTTGTTTGGTTTCATTTCAGTAAGAGTTTTTTTTTTTTTGACACGAACAACATGTCCGTGACTCAAAAGCAGGGCCCAGGGTGAAACACCTCACACTGGCTCTCTGACTCCCCGCGGTCTCAGAGGAACTGTGATCCTTTTTCCACTCCAGGAGGTCTACTGGGAGGAAATTACTAGGAGAAGTACAAATGGACACAACCCTTAATGTGTTGATGCTCCTTTTTGCCACAGAAAGCAGTTCTGTGCTCCAGCGAGCCCCTTGTCGGCCCTTTGTTTGGAGGGCAGTGTCACACTTTTTTTTTTTTTTTTTCTTCACGCCACCTTGATGCCTGGTCCATACGAGTATTGTACTACATGAGAGTGGTCCCTGGCATAAAAGGTCGGGGAGTTAGCACCATCAGTAGTAGCTAGCTTTAAAATATAATTTTTTTTTATCCCTCCCAAAGTCAGTGGACTTTTCTGTGATAAGGTGTTTGATTCTTAATGCCAAATATTGCTAAAAAAGACTGCTGTAACATTAATGTGGCATCTTTTCTAGACCAAACTCTGAGTGCCTAACCGGGCCAGGGATTTTTTCTGGTGACTTTGTAAGTGCTTTAGACTCACAGTGGGCTCCTGTGTAGCCAGACTGATTGATGGCTCCACTGGCGCACACTCGGAATCCGCCCAAGTCCTCGGAAACTGTGAGAGTGACAGTTGAATTCCTGGTCACTTTACTGTCACCGACTCAGTCTCGCATGACAGCCAACTTTGGGGAGAGTCCAGGTGATTCAAAACTTCTCCCATTCTATTATTAATGCCGCTGTGCTCACTGCTTAGGAAATAAAACGTGAGCTTCACGTGTCCTTTTACTGTCCATGAATTTCATACTTGGCCCCCGATTGAATCCTAAATTCCAAATCCCTCTCTCAGTAACAAAAAGTGCAGAACCCACAGAGGTTGTTAACGATCTTAACGAGCATCGTTGTGTGAGCCACACACCTCCTGACATTTGTGGCTGTAAATGTTTCTGGAAGCTTTTCTGATTTTTCTTTTTTTTTGTTTTGAACATGTCACAGGGCAATTATTTACGGTGTTAAACATGGCTAAGGAGATTATTTGTGTTTTCTCTAATACCTGCTGTCAGTGCCTAGCGTGGCTCAGTGAGTATCAAGCATTTAAAATATTTTTTCATGCATCTTAAGGCTGTGCAACAAAATACAAAAACAAGTACGAAAATGAATTAATTGTCAGCTAGAAAAAAGCATAAATGTAAAATTTAAAGGAATGGAATTATTGGTTTAGGTTCAGGTACAACTTCAATATTACATTCCACTGGTTATCAACTTGTGGCCCGTGGGCCAAATGTGTCTTTTAGTCTTGTTCTACTAAGGGCTTTTAGGAAAGTGTGAAATAACTGTAAGCAAATAGCCTCCTCCCCTTTATGGATTCATGGGAGAGCTGGGTGAACATTAATGTTGCCTCAAAAGCTATTGATGACGCAATAAAAACCTACAGTTGTACTTGAAGGCTGCAGCTCTTATTGCTGAAGGGAGAGAAACCTCGTAGGTCATTAACGTCCAGCTTTATTTATATCACTCGCGAAAGATGAATCCTCCGCGGCGGAGACGACGTGAAAGTGAACCCCGTGCCTTTTAACTGGAACGGCGCTGTCGTAATTGTCGCTCGCCTTCTCTGCGGGTAATGGTGTTTATGGATTTTTCAAACGGTTTTGTCACTGTTACGCACGTCTCCATTTACAGAGAAGAAAGAAGTGACGCAGAGTCTGGAGAACTACACCTCCAAGTGCCCAGGTGGGATGGAGGTCATCACGCTTCCCGATGGACTGAAGCTCCCTCCGGTGCCCTTTACAAAGCTTCCTATTGTCAGGTGAGACATGAAATATATACATATATATATATAATTTAAAAATAAACTCAACATGACTCATTAGTAAATTTGTAAGGATTACTTTAGGGGCTGGATTATTGCGACGGGAATTATGTATGTACTTAGGGCGGCGTGTCTGGCAATAAAAAATGTCATTTCTCCTTCCGCGAAGAAACGAGTGGCAGAGAATGTACAAATTAAATGGTTGTTAGGAAATGATTATGCTTACGTATATACCAACAATCCAAATGCTTATATTAAATTAAAGCGCACAGAAAAAACAAAAAACAAACAAACAAAAGGAATTACTGTAGTCCTCGAGGCTTTGCTTTTTGCCAGGCCACCACTGCAAATAAGAATTTGTTCTTAATGACTTACCTGATGAAATAAAATAAAACAAATGCCGTCCAAACACTGCTGGAAACAAACCAAGAAGTACTACGCAACGTTTGTGAAGTAAATACATTTACGTATTACTAGGTCCTCACTGCTGTGACTTTTGTATGGGTTTTAGTGGATTATATTATGACTGAACAATGTAGTTTTCATGTTTGTCTAAACCAATGGTTCTCAAACTTTTTCTACTCTGTACCACCTGAGAAAACACGGAGCTCTCTGAGTACCACCATGATGACCAACATTAGAATATAGCAGCATAGGCCTTCACTGTTAGCTTCAAATGTTTATGTTTAAATGTTGTATTAATTGTGCATGGTATGTTTCAGATATATTCAGTTGAAAATATAAATGTGAAAATATGAATTCTCCCTGCGTACCACTGTTTGAGAACCACTGCTCTAACCGACTCGCCTGTTTTTGTACATCCAGATCGGTGAAGCTCCTGAATCTGCCCGTCAGCCTACGGCCGCACAAGGTGAAAGGCCTGCTGGGACAGAATATGTCCACTGCCAGCCCCTTCATCTACTCACCAATCATCATGCACAACAGAGGAGAGGAGCGCTGCAAGAAGATCGGTAGGTCCAGTGACAAGGTGTTCGAGTTAACGTGCGACATTAAAAAAAAAACAAAACAATTGAAGCAGCCATATGTGATGAGACCGAGCTCGGGTCAAGAATCACGTACGCCTGCCTCACTTTAAATTCATCATTCTCCTTATATCACTATAAGTGATTGGAGGGGAGTATATTAGCTCCAGTTTTATCAGCACTTATTTTTAATGGAGACAACTCCACCGAGGGCAGTCTCTCCACACTTGTCTCCGTCAGAATTAGAGTTATATACAGTTACTGCTGAGGGATAACTGCAGAACCGCCGCAACCTCCAGTCCTATAGCTCACAATGGGTACCGATCAGAACAGCTGTGCATCAGAAAGACATTTGACTCCCACTATTTATTTATTTATTTAATTTGAAGACAGTCAGACGAAGACATGTGAATACTACAGAATGATTAAATGCATGTATTTACATTAACATATGTTTATATTTTTCTCTTTTTTAATTCAATTGTTAGGAGTCTGGTTAGCACATAAGCTAATAAATTCACAACTAGACCTGTTTTCATCTTCATCTCAGTGTCCAAAGTTAAAAATTCACATCATCACACTGCGATGAGACTTGAAAGAAGACATCATCACCAACTCTGATCTAAAATTGTTTTTTACAAACGGACGGCCCCCCCCCACCCCCCGGGTCTCGTACTACATTAGCAGCTTGTCTTTGAGATAAATCTCTGAGAGAAAGATGTTTTTTTTTTGTTTTTTTTTTTTTTTTTTGGTCTGTTTGCTTCTGACAGTATTTTTCACAGTGATGTTCTCGATAGCTTCATTGAACCTCGGCCGTAAACGTCTAGAAGCTACAGTGAACATATCTCTCCATTTTCTTGGTGGAGAATTTAGGACAGTATTATCATTCTGTCTGGGTTCTGGCAAATGAGTTCTGTGGACAGTTTGGATATATACGCGTTTTTCCCTCCTCCTCTTTTGTCACGTAGTATGAATTATTGATGCAGAGCCATAAATACAGAGTTCTCTAATGGGACATTGTTCCACTCCTAATTGGTCCGTTTTTAAGAATTGTGGAGTGTATGACTATCTGTTGACTTTGACTCAAATTATAGCCCATCTATTAAACTGGCATGTGGGCATATGAAGAAGAAATAATTTAATTTAAAGTCCTCAACGGGGAGAATAAAACTTATGGTCTATCTCGTTTTAAACACGCGCGGACAGGGACGTATACTATTTGCGCTGTGTTTAAAATATAAGATTTTTTTCCTCAACAAGGATGGATAAGCAGTAGGAAAAATATGAATTTTTATTCACACTATTAGCTATCTTTCTTGGATATTTTTATGACAGACCCAGGAGCCTGACTGTGGTTATGTCCTCTGAAATAAGGATTCACTTCACTGAACATGCAAAGCTGCTCTTCCAGCCTAATTTACAGGAGTTAAAACAGCTGATTGTTTCCAGGTTAATTAAAAACAGGTGTGGTCAGGCAGAACAACTCTCCTGTAAGGGTAGTGAGCACTGGTAAGTGCCAGCTTGACATGTTGTTTATTGCATTTTACAACAGGGTTTCCGAAAGACAAAAGCTGAATAAAATGTCAAGTTAGCGTCAACAATCCAGTCTTGAGTCACCGAGGGCCGTGTCGCACTTAATTGGCTGAGTGAGAGCATTCCGACCACAGTGTGTGGGCTTTTCTAGACATTCATTTTATAGATATCCCTCTTTTGACTGACTTAATTTCCCAAGGTGCGTAGCTGCGCTGCGCCTCCTGCAAATCCTTTCTCCTTTTCCCCGTCTGGGCTCGGATTGAAGAACTACCTTTGCTAGTCTATCAACAGCTTTGGGTTCTTTAAATGTAATGAAAATATTATATGTTATTTTCTCCGGAAAAGTGCTTAGGACTAAGTTAGCTTCTCAGTGGGGTACGGTTGGGGTAGGGTTATAATATAATATAATGTAATATATAATATCATATATATATATCTATATATTATAGATATTTTTTTATTAATTTTGTAATATATTTGTAGTTAAATATTTGTTAAGAGTAGGCTGATTATAATAATTGTGTTAAAAATGTTGTGAATAATCATGATTAATTGAGATTATTCCAAAGCTAACCCGTGCTTAATCTGATTAAATATTTGAATGCATTTACAGCACTAATTTAAACTAATTTTTAGTTCGCTTTGACACATGCCATATGAGTTTTTATCACTTGCAAAACCCTGTTAATGACCTTAACGTTTTTGGACAGATAATTGCGGAAAAAAAAACTTTCGGCCGTGTGTAACTGTCCACTGAAGAATTGTTTTAATCAATCCTTACGTTCAGACATATCTAGAGGGGGAAGTCGAACTGAACTGAAACATAAACCCAATGACTGCATTTAGAGATTTTTTCAGTTTAGTTATGACTGAAATAAAATGAATCAGGCAACATTAGGTTATGTTATTGGATATTTTGTATTTACATCATCATTTATCACAGAAATACCTCTGCTTTTTTTTTTTTTTTAAATTCTTAGCGATGCAGCCTAATGGTGTATTTCCCCCAGCTCATTAAAAGTCAATGACTTTTATTACGGCTGATGTCTTGTAATGTTATCATTTTTCTCTGATTTCAGACTTCCAGTGGGTTCAGGGGGATGTGTGTGAGGTGCAGCTCATGGTCTACAACCCCATGCCCTACGAGCTGCGAGTTGAGAACATGGTAGGTGAAACATTCCATTTCCATTTTAAATTAATCACAGATACCGGCGAAACAGGAAGTCACTGATGTGTTTGTGTTTGCGAAGCGTTGACCCCCCGGAATTACAGAGGTCAAGTGAAAAAGCCTAGTTGTCGTCCTCGTTTCCCTAAAAGCCTTTTTTGACAGGTTGCTACTATTATGATTCTATGAAGGAGTGAGAACAAACCCTTCTCGCCACAGACAGTAAGAAAGCATTACTAGGCAGAGGCATGCCCCGTCCCCCCCGTCCACCCCGTCCCCCCTGTGGTGCCATTACTTTAATGGCTGCACACACCATCCTGTCAGAACAGATAGGC